AAAAAAAAAAAAAAAAAAAAAAAAAAATGGTAAAACAGCAACTAGGGAGATAAAATAATGTCACAAAGTAATTGCAAAGTAAGTGAGAAATACTATAAATACTAAGTAGGTGGACAGGGAGGACCCCTACTGGCAGGCATGCTGTCAAGGGTGTGGACCTTGAGCTGCCACAATTTGAAGAGGGTAAAGGAGGAACACTGCAGGAAGAAGCAACCCTGTGGGAAAAAGGGCAAGAATCTGAACAGGAGAAAGTAAGCTACAAAGGACTTTCTGGAACACGGAAAGAACATCATGACAGTTATTTAAAGATGCTCAATTCTGAGAAGTTCTGTGCTCCTTGGAGAGAAAAGTTGGATATTAAATGATGTCAATTCTACCCCCCAGTCAATTTTAGGTTTAATGTAATTCTAAACAAAATCCCAAGAAGATTATTTTAAGGAATTTGAGAAGAATGGTTATTTGGAAGGATAAATGACCATGGACAGTGAAGAAAACTGGGAGAGGGAAAGGGTATCAACTACCTGATTTAAAAAACATTATCAGGATATAGTTAGGACAGATGGTAAGACGACCAAATCAAAGGAAACAACACAAAAGAGAAGTGGATCACAATCTGCCCTTGTGAATTTAATACAGTAGGTAGCAGTTTTTCTCTGGCATATGTGTCCTTAGTTAATTTTTCTATTGAATTCCTACTTTTTGGTTTGTAAGCATCTACCATGTATTCAGGATATTAACACTTTGTTAGTCATATATATATATATATATATATATACACAGTCTTTTAATTTTATAATGTTTATAATGTCATAAAGAATGTTTCAGTTTTATTTGATGAAATTATAACAGTTTTTATCATTTCTACTCTTGGGTAAGAGGGATGTCCTCAGAAAACATTAAACTATTTTCTACAACTTTTATTTTTTACACTTAAATATTAATATAAAATTATATAAAATCTTTTCATTTTAAAAATTACATATTATATATGTTATATATATTCCTGTGCTTCTATCCTATTCCACTGACCTTCCTCTATTGATACTACACATAAAAATTTTTTGACAATCAGGTACAGTGGTGCACACCTGTAATCCTAGAAGTTAGAGGAGGCTGAGAAGCAGGAGGATCACTAGTGAACTACATCACTAGACCTTGTCTCAAAACAACAACAACAACAACAACAACAAAAACAAAAATAACAAAACAACCCAAAAATTTTTAACACTGTAGAATATATTTTAATATTATTAAATATTATTATTATATTTAAAATTATTATATTTAAAATTATTAAAGCCTCTTGTCCTAGGATACAATTGGGGGCAGGGGAAATCTCAATATTCTAATCACCTCATCAAATCTTTTTTTGGTACTGGGGATCATACTCAGGACCTTGTGCTTGCAAGGCAGATGGTAGCACCACTGAGCTAAATCCCTGGCCCTGACCTCATCAAATCTACTTTGTATCAAGATCTATTTTGATAGTATATTGTGAACGTATTTAAAAGGACAGTCAAATCAGACATTATAATTTACATCTTGAGTTCACTCCCAGCACCAAAACCCCCCAAAACCACCCCTACAAAAAAAAAAAAAAAAAAAAACCAACTACCAAAAAACTAGAGGCCTAAAAAAAAAAATCAAGCAGTTAAATTACTAGTGCCAACTCCTGACTACCATGTCTTCTACAATCACACTGATTGGAAATTCAGTTATGCTTGTATAACTGGACATTTTTACTCAATATCGCTCTTTTCTGTGTGCAGCTGGAGACCACCTAATGCAGACAGGTTCCTTGCATGGGCTGATACCTGAGCCAGGTCTCCTGTGCTTGCTTTGGGGGCTCTGTGCTCAGTCTGCATTGCACTCCCAAGTACTTGTGCTCCTAAGATCTCAGCATCTTGGAATCCAGAAGTGGTGACCAATGGATAGAACCCCAACGTGGGACACACAGGCTCTTCATAGTGGCTTTTTTCTTATTAAAATACCCTATATCACAGCATCCTAAAAGATCTTGTTTTTTAAGACTCATTTATTGATTGGACATAACTCCGTAGTTGGAATCACAGTGGGAACTATCAAATAGATTCTGAGGCAGGTTTAGCTGCTAATGACCCACAAAAACAGAAAGGGGTTGCAAAGTCAAATCAGGTAAGGACATGGGTAAAGTCAGGCTATATATTCTGAGGGCAATGCAAGGCAGCTACGCTTACCACTATACCACCAACACACAGTCTGAGAGCAATGGAAGAGTTCTGGACAGTACTGAGTAGAAGAATCACCTTTGCTTTTTGTATTTTAAAGGCCATTTTTGGCTACTATGCAGGTCTGCCTGTATGAAAAGCTGAAGCAGAAGCCAGAACAGTAGTCCAGTATTGAACAGTAGTAATGGAGGTGGGAGGTGACAGGTGGTAGTCAGGTATAACACATTTTGAAGGCAAACTGACTGGCTTGAGTATTGAGAGGAAAGTGCGAAGGGCACTGCTAACGTTTTTTGGCCTGAGCAACTGGGTAAACGAAATAGGAGAGGTATGCCTGAGCAGGTTTACAGAATGTGGGCAGAGTGGGGGGAAACAGGAGAGTTCTCTTTGGCATATACTCAGTTTGAGATCATTTAAAACATGAAAAAAAATGGCTGTACCATTCTGGATCTAAGTGCGGAGGAGGATCTCATCTCCCTGACTCCTCCTGACCCTACAGTTCATTTATGTACTAAATGAATGAAATGGTCAATTGGTTGGTTTGCGGTTACCACATGTTTTGTGGCTTGCGCCCTTATTTGTATCATCCCCTGCCTGAAACAGCCCTTCCACCTGTGACTGGCTGACTCTTGGCCTCAAACACACTCTCTTCCAAACGCTTTCCTAGTACCTCAGGCGATATACTAATGGCTCCGACCACTTTTCCCTAAAGCTGTCTATTGGATTCGCTAGGGCAGGAGCTGCATAGCTTATCTGTGTACCCCAAGACCTAGCCCTGAGCCCAGCACAACAGGAGGCGCACACGCGTTGACAGAGTCAGCTCAGAGCACTCGCTTCAGCCAAGGGCCCTACAGCGGAGGGGAACCCTACGGCACGCGGGCTCCGGCGGGCTGTTCAGATCACTGAAAGCTTTAAAAGGTTCGCCAATAAAGATGGGCCGGCCCTCCGGATGGAGGGGAGGAGCTGGCTTCCAGCCACTCCCTCCGTGACCTCTTCCCCCGGTCTCTCCGCTCAGCACCCCCTTCCCGGGTCCGGGTGGAGTGGCGCCGAGAGTTAGCTGGGATTTCTTCAAGCGGGCGCCGGTAGCTTCCAAGGGGCAGGGGTAGGAGCCGGCGGCCCGCTCCTCACCAGCGCTGTAGACGCTGCGCGCCCCCGTGAGAGGCCAGCGCGGGCAGGGAAGGGCAGGCCGGACGCCACG